ATAAAAACTAAAGGCAATTAAATTAAATATTCATAAAACATTTGAATGATTTGAATTGAGAAGAAAAAACAAAAAACAAAAAATATCTCTTCAACATTTTTTATTCATTGATTTATTTTTTATTTTGATGAAAACTTTTTGCATATTAAGTTCATATATAATAATTAAAAAAGTAATTATTATTATTGTTATTATTATTATAAAAGCTATAATATTATTGGAAAATCATGACATAATTGGATAATCTTTTTTTAAAAAAAATATTTTCTCATTAACTTTATTTATAGTGAAATTTATCCTCAATTTGTTTTTAAAAAAATAAGATTGCTTTTCGAAGGATGGGCCTAAATGTCTAGCCCCCCAAAAAAAAAGTCATGCGTTTTTAGCTTTTTTATATATTGTTTTAATAAGGATGGCACATCGTTCATCAAAAGGGTTTTTAATAAAATAAAAGACATATTATTCGTCAAGATAGATGACACGCTGTTAAATTATATATTTTCCAACTACCTACAATCGTCATTGAAAATTTGAGATCCATGTTTTTGGATTCAAAATCTATTTTTAACTTATTTTTATGTAAAAATATTCCAAAAACATTTTAGAAATCTCAATAAATCCAATTTCATCCTCAAAACATCATCAAATTGGTCTAAAATTCAAAATCAAATTAAATAAAAAAGTTCATAGGTCCTAATTTACTTTTCCTGCTATGGTAAAATGGTAAAACAATCTCTATTGAACTCTCCTATTTAATATGAATCCATTGACATTAAAATTAATATTTTATGTGATTTGAATATGGTTGTCAAAACCTTTTTTTTTCTAATAACTCTCTCCTCTCTCAGTATTTAAGGATTGAAATTTAAGAAAATTTAAGTTTGAGGACAAGAATGTAAAAAACTAAGACTATAGGGACCAAGTGTAGAAAATAAAAAAAACTTCAGGTACCTAAACCATTTCTTTATCTTCTTAATTTCAGTAGTTAAATTTATCAATCAATCATTTGATTTACATGATAGACCTATATTTAAGATAAACACTTACCATAAATTCAAGGTATCGTATATTATCAAACTTATTATTATAAAACATGTTTTAGTTGAGTTATTAATACTTGAAGTGTAAAATGATAGTATAAAATCTTGATAAAAATACACTTTTAAGTACTAATTACAGATCCGGGTTCATCACCCTTTATAAAAGTTGTAGCCTTATTCTTAGCTTTCTAAAGAAAATAACTAAGCTTAAAATCAAGTTCTATAACTTCAAGTATGATTGAAACACGAAACAGTGTTTTATAAGGCTTAGGCTAAAGTGATGAAAATAATTAATTTATAACATTTCATTGGAATCCGACACTATAGAAATTGTGAAAAACAAAACATTATATATATATATATATGTATGTATGTATGTATGTATGTATATGTTTGAAACTTTAAGGATTTTTCCTACTTAGTGAGTTAAAATTTGGATTGGATGAGACTTGATATGACATTTTTTTTTTGTTCATGAAACTTATCTGTGATGTTTGTATTTATTAGTACATTAGAGACTACACTAATAGAACAAAACTGGGTGTCACATCTAGAGATTATACACCAGATAAGTCTTTTTACACCTTAGTCTTTTTAATTTTATATATTAGTCTTGCAATTTCTTAAACTTGATAAACCTTGGTAAATGTGACAAAAAGTATATTGAAAAGGATTTATAAAAAACCAATGATTATGTTGCTTTCATTATTGAATGAAAGCCAATGATTATGTTGCTTCTATTATTAAAGAAAAGCCAATGATTATGTTGCTTTCATATTGAATGAAGCTAATGGGTGTTGTTATCTTGGGAAAAAAAAGCAAGTGTTATGATGCTTTTATTGTTGGATGAAAGCTAATGATATGTTGCTTGCTTCAATTGATGAATGAGTTATTGTTATGTTGCTTTCATAACTAGATGAAAGCTAATGTTTGTAGTTTCCATTGTTGAGTGGAAACCACCGTCTATTGCTTTCATGGTAAAATGAAAGTTACTAATATATAGTTTTCATTGTTAAAAAAGAAGAAGAAGATGAATTGTTGTAAACATTGAATATGACTTTTTATGGTGGAAATGAGGTTATGATTGTAAAGCAATGAAAGTTTTAGATTGGAAGGAAAAATGTGTTATATGAAGAAAAACATAATTAGTGTGTCGAGAATTATCAAAATTTATTTAAATACTAGTGTGCACTTATGAATTTTATTATTATTTTATTGTTGTCATTTGTAGGATCATCTCATATTATAGGGCATAGTTGATATATTATGGTGAGGTTTTGTTGTATTAGATACATTAGGGTTAGATTTTGTTGTCATTTGTTGATATATTATGGTTAGATTTTGTGGTGGTGTGACACGACCAAAAGATTGATATCTTCTCCCAAGTGCAAGAGTAATAAATAACCCATTGATATCTTCTCCCAAGTGCAAGAGTAATAAATAACCCGATAATAATAATAATAATAATAATAACATAATAATAATAATAAAGAAGAAGAAGAAGAAAACGTTTATGAGAACTTTAAGATGGAATGTTAACGTAATGATTAAACAATGATAACAACAAATGTCAAGGTTAGAGGATCCACTAATGGTATATCAAACAAGTATAGTATAAACTCTTATTATTTAATTGGAAACCACACATAAAGGATGTTTGAATCAAATTATAATTTTGTTAACATGATTACATTAGTTATCTTATTCTGACCAACTCTTGACTAGGTGACAATCCTTATCTTCTCTTGTCTACTCAAAATGTCATTCATAATGTCAGAATTGAAACCATTTGAAACATGAAAGTTTTAGGAAATTATCTCATCTTTCTAGAAAAAAAATGGAGGTCATTTAGACTTCTAAAACTCTAGATATGGATCAAACATTAAATAGCATTCAGGCTGTAGGATAGATTCAAACTTCTTCATTATTGTTATAATTTGGACTTGAAAATGCCCTTTTGAAATCTTGGACTTAACCGGAAAGAGAGGGATTCGAAC